TATTTAGCACATATGTCCTTAATCACTGAAGAAGGCACATTCTCCCTCTCTCTCTTCCTCCTCCTCCTCTGAAGCAATTCTGTCATGTTTCTCGCCTTCTTTATCAAAGGGCTGGCACTCGGAACTTTCTTCGGCCCCATGGTGGATTATTTAGCAGTCGTAATAAAAAAACAAGCACAAAAAAATGGATTATTACGAAATGTTTCATATGAACACACAGGGTAGTGTTCACTCCACAAGAAACAAAGCCAGACTGACTCAGAATGCATGCATGGGATGCTTTGTGTGGGCACGGGCAAGCGGACACATTCGGTATGGTGGACAAAAATCGAAGAGATGAGAGAAAACTGGGACAAAATTTTGACAAAAAAAAGTCGTCGAAAACCAAATTCGATGAAAACCAGGGCCAACAAAAACCGAGGTTCAACCTTATCACAAGAATGTAAAATAAGAACAGTTCCTGTACATGCATTTGAATTGTAAATCATATGATAATGTGCTGTAATTATTAACTGATTAAGCATGTACTAGCAAAAATGTAATTTTTATGACTAATATTTTTAATGATAACACTATGAATAGTAGTTTTATAGTTCAAATGAATTTACAAAATTTGTCCAGAAAAAATTATTACTCTGACAAATACAAAAACTCACACAATTCCTATCTCCAACTAATTGTTTACTTTACTACATTACTTCCAAAAATAGGGAGATTCACTATAAAGAAATAATGACCATTTCAGTATAAGTCAAGGCACACAGAGGTATAAATGTAAACTCAATTTTCATACCTCACCCTGACTTTTCTATTATTCACTGTACACTATTCTCATTGCACATATCCAAAAGAAAACTCTCCATTGCCTTCACTTTCTCATCTTGGAACGTCATGATCGTGTTGAACTTATACACATCAAGAGTGACAGGCAAAGTTCAAATGACCTTGAAGTATGAGAGAAAAACATACATGTGTGTGCAATAAAAAGAATGCAAGTCAGTCATCTGACTGACTGTAGCAATAAAAAACTGGGAAACCCTTGTGGTCCCATTTCATAGGTTCTAGTTTGGTCTCTTGTCTCATTTGTGAATGCATATATCATTACCTGTAACCAGATAAACATGAAAACTAATCACATCATTGATAAAAGATTTCTAGGCACTGACCAGTATATATTAACAATTGTTACTGAACTTGATACACATAACAAAGGTCTAAAGACACCCATTTTTCACATATCTTACGTATCAAATAATTTAATTTTTTGCACTGTTGAATTTACAAGCTAACTGCTGTAATCCTACCTGTGTATGACAGTCAAAATACTTCCATCACAAATCCCAACTTCTGGTACCACCTTTACAAACATGATATTGTTCTCAAAATTTTCACATATTAGCAAAACTCTAAGAAAAATTCTCTACAGTAAGAAGCTTTCTAAACCTGCAGTTTCAACTTAGATTTTCGAGCTGTTTCAAGAATCAATATGATCTGGGAATGTGTTTAATCAGTTTCTTGATATTCCACTATCAAGGTCTACACTGATCAACTTCAATAAAAATTCATTTTACAAAAATAATTAGGTGATATATGCATTAAATCAATCTGTAGCAGAGTACTGTCCAGAAACTCTGCAGCTGAAAAACCCAGTGAAAATAAACAAGCTAAAACTATAATTATTTCCTTACTACCAGAAAAACCACCCAACTAATTTAATTTTATGAAGAAAATGACTTATATGAGCCCAGATTACCTAGCTGTGCTAATCAGAAGCACTAAACTTAGTTCTAATTATGGAATTGACGTTCCTTGGTATGTAAATAATTAGCAATTTTATACAAATTATTATTACAGATCATGGTAGTGTGCCTACCAATCTACACTCTGATGAGTAAATAGTATAATGACAAATAAAAGATCAGTATATATATTTACCATCTTATAATACTGTCCATTAATCAATAGCAATTAATACCTTGCCATAAGATGGAGTGATAAATAGCACTTAATAAACAGCCGAAAGAAAAGGTAGGAATTAATATACATAAATCTTCAGAAATAATTTAAGGAATCTAGATCAACAAATTATTGCATTGGCTGAACATATATATTATGGGCATATTAACCCTTTCAGGGTCCAAGGCCCAAATCTGGAGTCACGCACCAGTGTCCAAGAATTTTCCAAAAAAAAATTTGTTATTTTTTCTTATGAAATCGTAGAGAATCTTTTTGTGAAGGTAATAAAACAAAAAGTACGAAATTTGGTGGAAAATTGACGAAATTATGCTCTCGCGAATTTTGATGTGTCAGCGATATTTACAAATCTGCGATTTTGCCGACTTTGACTCCCATTTTAGGCCAATTACATTATTCCAATCAACCAAATTCTTAGCTATTTCACTAGTATTACTTCTATTCTATCGATTGAGCACAAGAAATCGCCAAGTCAACTGTTTCAACTACAAAATAAAGTGATCGAAATTGTTTAATTTGGCCAATTTAACACAAAATTCAAAATATTCCAATTTCAAAATAGGGTCCAGAATGAACAATGTAGCATTCCTGGCACTAAACTAACATTTCCTCTGTCATTAGTTATGTTTTGAGGCTTTACAAATAAATTCCATTTTGATTTTTATTCACATAATGAATTTTTATTCACACCAAAAAATAGAAGATTACTGTTATGCAATACTGTAATAATTGTATAAATATCATCACCAATTGTGAATGTATATTAGACCCACCCAGCTGACGTGTATTAGACTGTGAGGTCATTTGTTTACTCTTGAATATCGGCAAAAATTTAACATTTCGCTACTTTGAGCTCGTATCAAGCCATTCCAGTGCTAAAACCAATCAAAATCACTCTATTTCTGTAATATTCTCCATTCTATCAAATGAGACCAAGAAATCGCAAATACAACTATAAAAAACATACGAAAAAACACTGCAAAGTTGCTGTTTTAATCGAAAAATCATGATTTCATTTTTTTTCTCTCATTATACACAGTGTCCTGCAGGATCTGTTTTATGTGGTGCACACATACCACAAAGATGTATTCTCTCATATCTAGGCCCAAATGTACCACTCACAGTTTATCAGAGTGAGCTGAGCTCATGGCGTAGATCTACGGTTTGGACCCTGAACGTAAAGCCGTAGATCTACGGGACGGACCCTGAAAGGGTTAAAACCCTAATACTGTACTATTGTTTTTATGAAAGCAATAGGTTTCCTGCACTTTAATGGCAAATTTACAAGAGAACAAATATTCTACCTGTAAATTCTCAAATAATCTCTACAAGACATAACCAGTAATGTACTGCAGCAGCAGTTGAATCTCATTAATCCAAACTCTATTACCATACACTCTTATCACACACTAAATTTCAAGTTTTGTCTTTAACAAATGTAAGGATTAAAAGAAGTCAGGTTAGTGAGATAGCATGCAGGTATTTTTCTTTTTTTACAGCTCACTGAGATGTCCCCATTCAGATGACCAGTGCTGCAGTCAGCCCAAGTTTTATACAAACACAGATTTTATTTAAAAAAAAATACAAGGTGGCATTAACGTCTTGGAACTTAGATATCTATATACTGTAGTACGATGTTTTTGGAAAGCCCACTGGACCTACAGCAGCAGCCATTACCTTCTCCAGAAAGCCAACAGGAGTATCACCATACTCACCACCAAACAATTAAACAATTCACTAAAATACCTTACCCTAACTAGGAGGTGCGGGATTACCAAAACTGTTGTCCAGAGGGCTGAGGAAGGGTTGTTGAGGTGGTTCGGACATGTAGAGAGAATGGAGCGAAACAGAGTGACTTCAAGAGTGTATCAGTCTGTAGTGGAAGGAAGGCGGGGTAGGGGTCGGCCTAGGAAAGGTTGGAGGGAGGGGGTAAAGGAGGTTTTGTGTGCGAGGGGCTTGGACTTCCAGCAGGCATGCGTGAGCGTGTTTGATAGGAGTGAATGGAGACAAATGGTTTTTAATACTTGACGTGCTGTTGGAGTGTGAGCAAAGTAACATTTATGAAGGGGTTCAGGGAAACCAGCAGGCCGGACTTGAGTCCTGGAGATGGGAAGTACAGTGCCTGCACTCTGAAGGAGGGGTGTTAATGTTGCAGTTTAAAAACAGTAGTGTAAAGCACCCTTCTGGCAAGACAGTGATGGAGTGAATGATGGTGAAAGTTTTTCTTTTTCGGGCCACCCTGCCTTGGTGGAAATCGGCCAGTGTGTTAATAAAAAAAAAAAAAAAAAAAAAAAAAACTAGAACACAGGCACAGGAGAAGTCCACAGTATACCTTGTGGAGGTTATGATGGCTTTTATGTAGGCGAGACAGAACGGGATTTAGAAAATGGACTTAAGAAACTCAAATATGCATGCAAATGGATGACACAGGCAACACCTATATGAAGAGCAAATAAAATATCAAAATTATACGTAGGTGACTTAAGACTGTTGCCAACAGGATAAGACAAAACAGAGGAATATACATCTTGCCTAAATCCAGTGCACAGTACAACCTCTCCTCACTTAGTGATGTACTCATTTACCGATGACTCAGACTTACAGTACACCATAAACACTTAAAAATATACTAAAAATGTTATAAATGATGCAACGGTGACATTAAAACTACCATAATAGCATGCTCCTTGCTTAGCGTCAAATTCATTTACCAATGTGATCTTAGGAACGGAACTCCATTGTTAAGTGAGGAGAGGCTGTACACAAATAATCCGCATGTAGGAGACAAACTTATAACGACATTTTGGTCTAAGCTGAACCATTAATTAGTCACCGAGGAACACCGATTATTCACTTATTGTTCCAATCATGGTACTGTGCCTTTTTATTCCACAAATAATCTCGGATCAACATGCTAAAACCAAAATACCATGACCTCACATCCACCTGACATCACCTGTAATGCACCTGGCCTAACAGTGACAACTGACCTTTCTCAGTGGCCCCTGATTTGACCCAGCAGCATCTAATCTTATATGCTTTATATACCTTTTTTTTTTTTTTTGTATCCCATGTACTTGATGAAAGCCTTATTGGGTTAAATGTATTAATAAAAGTTTCTTTGCTGAAAATGTCTTTTTTTTTTCACCATTATTCACAAATGCTGAAAATGCCTGCAAATTTTTTATCCCACATTCATGTTGAATTTCAGCCTACTATAGTAACAAGTCTACACCTGAATGTAATTCTGTATTTATTCTGCATGTTGGTAATAAATGCAATAAGGAACAGAATAAAAGGCAAGAGAAAGCAAGAACAAAAGTGCAAGAAAAGGGAGAAAAGAAGGGAATGGGGGTGAAGCAAGAATAGCATCAAGTTGCTACCATCCTGTCATAGATGGTGAAACAAATATGTTAAATGTTTTACAATCTGGTAGGGATAATGGTCTTTTCTGTTTGTTTCATACACACACACACAATAAGAGATAAAAATCTTGCAGCTATTATTTACATCCAGTATATATCACATTTACCGTCCTGCCAGGTGAGTGTAAAACGAAAGCCTGTAATTGTTTTACATGATGGTAGGATTGCTGGTGTCTTTTTTTCTCTGTCTCATACACATGCAAGATTTCAGGTACGTCTTGCTACTTCTACTTACACTTAGGTCACACTACACATACATGTACAAGCATATATATACACACCCCTCTGGGTTTTCTTCTATTTTCTTACTAGTTCTTGTTCTTGTTTATTTTATCTTATCTCCATGGGGAAGTGGAACAGAATTCTTCCTCCGTAAGCTATGCGTGTTGTAAGAGGCGACTAAAATGCCAGGAGAAAGGGGCTAGTAACCTCTTCTCCTGTATAAATTACTAAATTTAAAAAGAGAAACTTGCGTTTTTCTTTTTGGGCCACCCTGCCTCGGTGGGAAACGACCGATTTGTTGGAGAAAAAAAAAAATCACATTTATGTGAATGTACATAGGTTTGTATATACACACTCATCTGAGTTTTCTTCCAAATTTCTTACTAGTTCTTATCCTCTTAATGTTTCTTTTCAAACTCCACAGTGAAACATGTTAGAACCCTTTATCCGTATGCAATGCAACTAAAACACTAGGTTCAAGGGGCTAGTAACCAGTTGTTCTGTATCAATTACTAAAAAGCACAAATAAGGAAATGGTTTGAATGTTTTAGGCTATACTGAATACAGTACAGCGAGCAAATAAGGCTTAATATGAAACAAATATAAAGTTCTTTCCTCTTATAAAAGACATGATTATCTGAAGGTACGACACTTCATTTCCCTGTACCAGTTATTTACAGCTCTGAGCAGTGCCACTCTTGCATACATTACCCTACCTGCTTAAATCATCTACAGTACCTGTATCAAAGCAGTTAAGAGGACATCGACATCTGCATCTTAAGTACACTTTTACACATTTATTTTTTTTTATCAGCACAGTGCTCTCGGCCTTTGTTATAACAGAATTTTGGTACTGAAAGTGCCTGATCACAAGTCTGGATTAACAAAATTCAACTGTATATACAGTACCTTTGGATACAAATGTAATTACAACTTAATACATGATATGATATGCTTTGTATTCAAATGATTTGCAACATAGATCTTGAGTTGCATCCAAAGCATTAAGCCAACTCCTTATGATAAGTTTCTGAGATACTCATTGAATTTAAAAATTTCCCAATCTCCCATTGGTCATCAGGCAGCCTGAAAAAATAACTGATTTAACTTGAATTTTATTTATAGCTTTGCAAGACTCAGAGTATATCATTTTCAACCTTAAATTCATAGAATATGCAAATTGCTACAGGGTAATCAGCTAGCAGTCTGGCTGGCAAGATCACCCATCAGCTGGCTCTAAGTTATTGGTCTGAACATTTTTAACACTTTTCATACTGTATTTGTGATTAGTAATTAAAAATGTATTTGATAGTGCAGGAAGCATCAACACTGTGAAGTTATGGTTGTGTGGGGGAATATATTTATCAATTTGAAACCAACTGCTGAAATGGTCATTGAAAACTTACCCTGACTAAACAGTGTAACTCTCAAAGATTCATTCTAATTCTATTGCAGTTATTTAAGAGTTGTCATTTAAATTTAATGTTTATTTTACTGAAAATGTTATAAGCAAGATGGTCATTTGTTTGAGGAGGCACCGAGTTGGGTGAACTCTCATTCTCATTCTCTCTCTCATTTTCTCTCTCTCTCATCTCTCTCTCTCTCTCTCTCATTCTCTCTCTCTCTCATTCTCTCTCTCTCTCATTCTCTCTCTCTCTCTCATTCTCTCTCTCTCTCTCTCATTCTCTCTCTCTCTCTCTCATTCTCTCTCTCTTTCTCTCTCTCTCTCTTATTCTCTCTCTCTCTCTTATTCTCTCTCTCTCTCTTATTCTCTCTCGTGGCTGACATTTTAAATAAAATGCAGGTTTAAATAAAAATGACACCTATTGAATGTCAAAGGACTTACAATGAATCAAATTAAATTACATTGTTTAGTCAGAGGAAGTGTTTCTTGGCCATTCCAGATTTTTTTACCACTCTAGCCGTCTCCCACTAAGGTGAGGCGACTCAAAACTGAAGAAAACGCCTTCATTGTCACTCATTCATTCAGTCTAGCCAGGTGCACTGAAATTACAATTAAGATAACCCTCCAGGGTTAACCTCCCTCAGAATGCAGGCACTGTACCTTGCTCACACTCCAACAGCATGTTAAATCATAAAAACCGCTTATCTCCACTCCTATGAAATACACTTTGCAACACAAGCCTGTTGGATATCCATTTCAGCTATCATTTTATTTAAATATTTATTTAAATTGATCAAATATGATATTGAATTACTAAATACACTCTCCACTAACTTTACAGTATTAATATTCCCTGCACTAACACAAATTAAAAAACGTACAAGAGCTAATCACACAAATAATATATTCCAAGTGTTACAAATAACATTAACCCTTAAACTGTCCAAACGTAGATCTACGTTTTTTCAACATAGGAAAGTATGTAAAAAAAGTAGATCTTCTTTTCTTTTTTTACATTTGAAAAAGTGTAAAAAAAAACTTTGATCTACGTTTTTTTTTTGTTATATTTGAAAATATGTAAAAAAAACATGGATCTACTTTTGGAGCACTACGCATGTGAACGTAGATCTGCTTGGACAGTTTAAATGTTAAAAGCAATAACTTACAGAGCCAATAGACTGGTGATATTGCTAGCTGGACCAAAAGTTGATTACACTGTAGCAAAATACAGCAAATTAATGACATTTCAACTAGCAAAGCATTCAAAATTAAATTCAAGCTTTCTCACTGAAAGCATACAAATACATAATTTAAACCAAAATATTTTAAAAAACAATTCTGACTAGTCTCAGGAAAATATAAATAATTAAGGAAGAAAATTCAATTGAATTTTATCCATTGTGTTATAAGCTACTCAAACATTGTATTCCATCTTTTAAACATTATGTATCTTTTTGCAGCATTTATGTTTAATTCAGTGCATAATGTATTATTCTGTATCAACTTCCTCTTTTATAAAAATTTCTGTGCCCCCTGTACTGTTGACATACTCTATAGATTTATTTAATGTATGGCATTCATTATCACTATCATTTTTAATTTCAGAAGAACAAAAGTCATTACCCTCTGTTGTTTCTGAAATAAAATTACTACATTCTGAGTCTCCTTCCTCTATTACTTCAGTTTTAATGGTAATCACATGTTTCATAAAATTATATACCTTTTGTCTTTTAGCATCAGTAGTGAAGCCTTCTTCAATAAATGATAAACATTCTTTCTTAAGACTCTCAGCAGTTGCATGAAAATCTGATCCCTCTGATGAGTCCTCACTTCCATGTGTAAACATATGCTGTTCAAGATTATTTTTTCTACTGAATTCTCTTCCACACTTTGAACATTCGTAAGACTTACTTCCTACATGAGACAACTTATGCCTGTTTAGAGTGCCCTTCTGTGTATAGAGTTTTCCACATTCACTACACTCATATTTCTCTCCTATATGAGTGAACATATGCTGCTTCACCTCCCCTTTACACTGTAGTTTTTTCCCACACTCTGTACAATCTAATGGCTTATTCCCAGTTACTGTCGTAATGTGCCTTTTAAGATCACCTCTAAGTCTAAATTGCTTCCCACACCCTTGGCATTCAAATGCTTTATCTTCATTGTGTGTGATTAAGTGTTTCCTGAGATGTCCTCTTAACTTGAATGCTTTCCCACATTCCATACACTTGTATGGCACATCACCACTATGTATGGCTCTGTGCTGATCAAGGTTACTTTTACTACTAAATTCTTTGCCACAGTCACATTTAAATAGCTTTTCCTCTATGTGTGTGGCCATGTGCTGTTTCAGATTGCCATTAAGAGTGAATCCCTTCCCACATACAGGGCATTTGTAGGGAGTTTCTCTCGAATGAGTTACTCTATGCTGTCGAAGATTGCTTTTCCTATTGAATTCCTTTCCACATACAGAACATTTGAAAGGGTTATCTCCAAGGTGAGTAAACATATGCTCCTTAAGATCACAGTTGTATTTGAAGTCTTTCTCACAAAGAGAACATCTGAATGGCCTCTCTTCAGTATGAGTTAGCATATGCTGCTTTAAAAATCTTCTCTGTTTGAATTCTTCCCCACAAATGATGCATTCAACTGGTTTTTTCCCTGTATGTATTGCCATATGTTGATTTAAATGCCCTATAGTTTTAAATTTTTTTCCACACAAACTACACTTAAAAGGTTTTTCATCAGAGTGGAAGAGCATATGTCGCTTCAGCGAGCTATTAAACCTGTAAGTCTTTCCGCACACTTCACACTGGTATGGTTCTTCTCTGGTGTGGAGAACCAAATGTTCCCTTAGTTCTGCCATGTGTTTGAATTCCTCTTTACACTGGTAACATTTGAATGGTTTTTCTCCCAAATTAAACACCATATGATATTTTTTTCCCATTCGTATTAAGGCATCTTGTTCATTCACCCCAACCATTTTTGGTACACACTTGGAGCATTTAACTGGATCTTCCACATTTCCACTATCATTATCTAGCCCAGAGCTGATCTGTTTATCTATCTTCTCGCCACATTTTGAACACTCTACAGATTTCATTACTGTGTCTTTAATTTCAATTTCTTCTTTAGTCAAACATTCTAATTTTACTTCTAAACACTCAGATGGTATCTTATCTACAAGACTGTCCATGCTATCATTTCTTCCATCATATAAGCACTCTGATCGCAAGTGTTGTAAATTACGCGACTTAGAACTAGGGTTATCTTCCTCAAAGTCATCAAGTGGTGTTTGTTTTATTTTACAAATTTTTTCATCTAAATTTGTGCTTGCTGAACTTTCTAATGTATTCTGTTTTGATTCTGGCAACTTCTTTTTAATGTATTTTTTGGGCTTTCTATAATTTCGCTTTTTATGAGGTTTCTGTTTTGGCAAAGTGTTATCAGTGTTATCAATATTTGCATTGCCATTCCACGAACAAACGAACAGAGTTTCTCCTTCACCTACTGATTTATTTTGATCAGTCTTTTCCAAGCTAACTATGTCATCTTTCTGGTCCCTCATCTCTTCCTTACCTACCAAAATTTCTTCATTATCCATCGGAAATTCATCACTGTGTACTGGAAGTTCATCACTGTCGACTTTAATATCATCACTGCCTATGGGAATTTTATCAATGTCTAGAGGATTTTCATCAGTCTCAACAGGAAGTTCATCAGTATCTACTGGAATTCCAAAATTGTCTACTAAAATTTCATCCCTGTCTACTTTAATTGGATTATTGTCTACCAGAAGTCCATCCTTGTCTTCCAGAATTTCACTGTCAGTTGGAATTTCATCAGTGTCTAATGGATTTTTACAGTCTACTGAAAATTCATTATTGTTGACTTTATTTGCACTGTCTACAAGTTCATGATTATGTATTGGAATTTCACTGCTGTCTATCAAAATTTCTTCATTGTCACCTGAAATTTTATCAATGTCTACTGGAATTTCATCACTGTCTACCTGAATTTTCTCTATATGAATTTTATCAGTGTCAACTGGAAGCTCTTCACTGTCCACTGGCTCTTCTTCATTGTCCATTAAAATTCCTTCATTATCTGCTGGAATTTTATCACTCTCAACTGGAATTTCATCACAGTCCACTGGAATATCATTGTCTACAGAAAGTTCATCACTGTCCACTGGAATTTTATCACTGCCTACTAGGATTTCATCACTGCCTACTGGGATATCCTCACTGTCCACTGGAATTTCATCACTGTCCACTGGGATATCATCACTGTCTACTGGGATATCATCACTGTCTACTGGGATATCATCACTGTCCACTGGGATATCATCACTGTCCACTGGGATATCATCACTGTCCACTGGGATATCATCACTGTCCACTGGGATATCATCACTGTCCACTGGGATATCATCACTGTCCACTGGGATATTATCATTGTCCACTGGGATATCATCACTGTCTAATGGTATTTCCTCATTGTCCACTTGGATATCATCACTGTCTAATGGGATTTCCTCAGTGTCCAATGGGATTTCATTGTCTACTGAAGGTTCATTACCGTCTACTGGAATTTCATCACCGTCTATAGGTATTTCATTGCTGTCCACTGGAATATCACTGTCTAACGGAAGTTCATCGTTGTCCATTGCAATTTCATCACTGTTTACTGGAAGCTCATCATTGTCTACCGGAATTTCATCATCTAGTGGAATTTCATCATCATCAACTGGAAGTTCATCACTGTCTACTTGAATTTCAACATTATTTACATGAAGTTCATCGCTATGTTTATCTTTACATTTTTTGCCTTTGCCCTCCGAGCACTTTAATGGAATCTTATACATACTCCTTTCATTCTTTGAGAACTCAAAAAAATTCAGCCCTATTTCAGAGGTGTTGCACTTCTTTTCAGTTACTGAAACATCTAATGGCTCTTCTATATCTGATGTGCTGAATTCCATTTTTGCACTATCCTGATCATCAAATAACTCATCCTCTATGCTATTTGTATCATGTTTATGGTTTTCACCCTCTAAGCAGTCGAGTAGCATTTCTTGACCATTAACACCATTTGCTTCCCTGTCCTCTGGAAAACATGAATATGGTCTGTGTTCCATTTCTGAGGGTTCCTGCTGAGGCTTTTCAACTTCTAAAAAATCAAAGGGCATTTCTTCCATTTGTATAATTTCATGCTGGTTTTCACTGCTTTCTGCACACACAAATGGGTTCTCATTTGAGAGTAAGAATTCTCGTAACGTAGGGCTAATTGGATCCATGGTACACCTTAAACAATATGCTTTCGTGTTTCTTAAGTACTGCTTAAGTAAAATAATTGAGGAGCTTACAGAATATAATTTTGGAGTAAGCAATGGTAGATAAATGAGAGGCTTACATAGTTTTCCCACTAATGACAAACGATCCGTTGTATGGTAGCCTTCAAATAAAAAATAAAATTTTAAAATGAGTATTACTGTCAATTTTCTTTCACAATACAATTAACACATATCTAACAAAGAAAAGTGAATTACATAAGCAAGTCTGTACACTACCCTTAGTAACATTATCCATACACAAGATCAAAATACTTGTCTAATGAAGGAAGGAGTAGCATCCCATCTATCTTGAAAAGCACTGTGGAATGTTGTCAAGAAAACTACACATCCAGTCCGTTCTCTGGTGGTATTTTCCAAAATCAGTTCAATAGCATGTACCACCTGAAAGTGCAAAAAAATCTGTAAAAGCAGAAAACATATGAACTATAAAAAAATGACACATAACTAAACAAGAGCAGCAGTAGTTTTGTGAAAAGATAAAAATGAGTGGAATGAGTGTAAAAAAATAATAAAATTACAGGGAACAACCATACAGGATTAGAGGTAGCATAAAACTCACATTTGGGAGAATAAACTTTAGACAAAATACAGCCTCTCCTCACTTAGTGATGTAGTACTTGTTTACTGATGACTCAGACTTACATAAAAAGGGCTCTCTGACCAGTATACATACCTAAATAATGTATTTTAGAGCGATTTCCTCTATTCTGCTTATTACAATTTACAGTACACTACTGTATAAACATTTAAAAATATAACAGAAATGTTATAAAAGGTGCAAAGGTGACATGAAAACAATATTAACCCGTAAACGGTCCAAACGTATATATACGTTTTTTCAACATTTGAAAGTATGTAAAAAAGAAGATCTTCTTTTTGTTTTTCTACATTTGAAAATGTGTAAAAAAACTTTGATCTACTTTTTTTTTTTGTTATATTTGAAAATACAGTGGTCCCTCGTTTTTCGTAATTAATCCGTTCCTGGAGATGTTACTATAAACAAAATTTACGATTTGCGAATCAATTTTCCCCATAAGAAATAACGTAAATACAATTAATCCGTTCCTGACACCCAGAAGTATTAAAACAAAAAAAATTTTTACATGAAATATACATGTAGTACATAAACAATACAATGGGAAATGATGAATGAAACATTAACAGCGTAACACTTACCTTTATTGGAGATTCTTCTTAGTGTATGGGAGACTGGAGGTGGAGAGAGATTGGATTGTTTACAGTTTGGAAGGGGAATCCCCTTCCAGCAACACCTCAGGTACCAATTGCTTCTGTGGGGTTGCTTCTCTTCTCTGTTTCTTAATGCCACTAGGACCACTTTGAGAGTCACTCTAGTCCTGTCTCGCAAAGTAACTGTGGAGAGAGCTCTGTTTCTGGAGTCTCTTTAACACTTCCCTAAAATGGCCCGAGACTTTGTCACTGTACATATTTCTCACCTTCTTTACCACAGGCTTGGCACTAGGAGCTTTCTTTGGAGCCATGGCAGCTTATTTAATACTTGCAAGCACTAAAATGAGTGGAATATTATGAAATATTTCGTAGGAGCACTTGAGGGGACCTTCACTCACTGGTAAACAATGCCAGACTGGCTGGGTAGGGAGACCGCCCCGGCTCACACCGTGCATACGCGTCCCGGACGAACTACTATTCGCGAGTCAACCTATGAAAAGCGAGTCCATGTTTATATGAAAATACCCCTATGAATGGCGAAATTTACGATTGCCGAGAACTACGAAAAGCGAGGGACCACTGTATGTAAAAAAACTTAGATCTACTTTTGTAGCGCTACACATGTGAACGTAGATCTGCTTGGACCATTTACAGGTTAAAGATGGCCGACACAAACCCACTACCATTATAGTATGCTCCTCACTTAGTGACGAATTCGTTTACTGACGTGGTTCAGAACGGAACTCCGTTGTTAAGTGAGGAGAGGCTGTACCATCTAAATTTCTCTCCAAATTGTGGCTTAGTTGCGAACTGTTTCAGCCATAGTACTATATTATTCTTCAAAAATTGAACAAGTCTAACATGAAGGAAATTTCAATGCAGAAAATGTCATTTTCTATCTAAAAATATCAATAACATATTGTACAAAGAAAACAGGCAACTTGTCTATGTCACTTGTGAATTTGAAGAAAAACATGCTAGGCTTGAAATGGAATGCAGCGTGATTCCTGCTTCAAAAACTGCCTCCAAAATAGGTGCAGTTATTTGCAACAAAGCAATTTTATAGCAACTATGAATTGTGCACTATACTAACATTATACTAACACTAATATTTAGTGAAGGGATTCAGGGAAACGGTTATTTTTATATAGCCGGACTCGAGTCCTGGAAATGGGAAGTACAATGCCTGCACTTTAAAGGAGGGGTTTGGGATATTGGCAGTTTGGAGGGATATGTTGTGTATCTTTATACATATGTGCTTCTAAACTGTTGTATTCTGAGCACCTCTGCAAAAACAGTGATTATGTTTGAGTGAGGTGAAAGTGTTGAATGATGATGTAAGTATTTTCTTTTTGGGGATTTTCTTTCTTTTTGGGTCGTCCTGCCTCAGTGGGAGACAGCCGACTTGTTGGAAAAAAAAAAACAGCTAATGGACTGAGCAAAGTTTTTTAATACTCAAAGGTAAGAAAGTGAAAAAGAAACACATAAAAAGAAAGGAGGTTTTGTGTGTGAGGGGCTTGGACTTCCAGCAAGTGTGCGTGAGCATTTTAGATAGCAGTGAATGGAGAAGAATGGTTTTTGGGACCTGACGAGCTGTTGGAATGTGAGCAGGGTAATATTTTGTGAAGGAATTCAGAGAAACCAGTTAACCAGACTCGAGTCCTGGAGGTGGGAAGTACAATGCCTGCACTTTAAAGGAGAGGTTTGGGATATTGGCTGTTTGGAGTGACATCTAAACTGTCATACCTGGGCATCTCTACGAAGACAGTGATTATGTGTAAATGAAGATGAAAGTGTTGAATGATGGCAAAAGTTTTTCTTTGTTTTTTGGGTCATCCTACTTTGGTGGGAAACAGCCGATGTGTTAAAAGAAAAAATTATCTGAAACCAGTTGTCAAGACAGTTTTTAAATTAATTTTTTTTATTATAGCCAAGACATTGCTCTGCATCATGCAGGCGAGAGAGATCACATATACAGAAAATGTAGAATTAACATAGGTAGTAAACTACTCGAGGTAGTCATTGAAATTAGGGGTAAATGTGACAAAATAAATATTACAGGGAGACTAGTCTTGTGCCCAATGGATATACTATACATAACTGTATGTCCAAACTTAAAAGCTAAACACAAACCTAAAAGTGCCCACAAAAAAATGCATATTTTCAGTTGACAAAAAAAAAAATTATTTAATTATTTGAGCATTGTGTCAAACTGTGATGAAAGTTTTTAACCTTAATGTATTTCACTAAAGCAAATACAAAGTAAATAGTAGATAATCCTAGAGTGCATGCATACATACTACTGAAATTAGTTACTATCGTTAATACTATAGATGATAAAGGGCAACTAATTATAAATCACATGGGAGATTTAGAGGGACAAATGCTAAAGATCTTGAGTAAAGATTATGTGAAAGGGTTACAAATTATTGTATTTGGGGAAAGTACTACAGTAATTTATTTTAATCAGGGGAAGCACTAAACCCTTAGGAGTCATATAGAGCCTGGAGAATGGGAGGCACTCAAGTTTGATGAAAGGCAGATGAAGCTAAGTCCAGTTCCTCAGATCAAGAGCCTCTCACTGGCATAAAGCACAAAATCTATAAAGATCATACAATACTCAAAGCATTTGGTAATAGAAAGATCTTAGCTGACTGCAGTAGTATAAGAGACATAAATGTAAAGAGACACTAGAATACGTACATGGAAGCAAGCCTGCATCCAACAAGTGGTAATATACTGTATGTTCCAACTCAAAACAAGTCAAATACTGTACTTAGTTTCTGAAAATCCTTCATGAACTTACTAGTAGCTCTTCTTGCTGCTCCATAGCATTCTGGAGTATGAAATCTATATAAAAGGCAATTCTCTCAATTAATGACTGATCACCATTCATTAATACTGCAGGAACTAAAGCAGTTCTACTCCTCCATTTAGTAGTCAGCTAGCACAGAATTTCTCCTGGTTTCAATATAGCCCTGAAAAAATGTAATTGTGTTATATACAGAAATTTCAACCATGAAATCTGACAATGTTTACCCAATATCTAACTATATTAAAGAAGAATAATGCAGAAACATAAGTAGTCAAATAGCATATATATATATAAAACTGGGTAAAAATATGACTTGCTAAGGTCTAATGGAGAAATGTTACTATCTCCACTTTTCATGCAGACATATGATGAACCTTGAAGACAGCACATGTTTTCGGTCTTAAGAGCTGCCCAATACCAGATTAATAATACACATGCATTTTATGTGACCTACACTTGCACTGATGACTACAGCATCACAGCTGAGCAAAGCATATTTTTTATTACTAAACTCACTCCCTCCCAAGGGTAAATTTAGTAAGCTGGGAAGGAACAGGTAAGGATGGAATGTGAAAAAGGGTGGGTGGTGGGTGAGGAGAGAGGGTAATAATAGTAAATGGCCTAACCACTTTGGCACACATTAATAAAGGTGTGTGTGTGTTGTGTTATACATGATAATCAAAGGACGCAGTATACCACACCAACCATAATTATGCTAAATCAGTTATGGATATATTGTACATAAAAATAACCACTAAGTGTATAGCCATATCTATGTACTGTATTTTTTTTTAACATACCTTTATGATTGGTAATGCAGTTATAAATATAAACCAAATTTACAAGACATTAAATACTTGTGCTCAATCACATTCAATATACTGCCAATATAAGAACATACAAATGAAAGAGCACTGCAGCAGACCTACTGGCCCATGCTAGGCAGGTCCAAGTCACCTACTGACCTAATCCAATCAGGTCCAACTCACACCCACTCGTGCATCTGTCTAACCCATTTTTAAAGCAGCACAATGTTTTAGCTTCAATAACGTTACTTGGGAGTTTGCTCCGCTCATCCACAACTCTCACTGCCAAACCAGTGGTTTCCTATATCCTTTCTAAATAAGTGATAATTTATGTAGCCATTATCAGCACTTTATGTAACTTGCATGTTGTAAATTGAACTTTATAAATGGTGGGGAGATTTTCAGAGGTATGAGCATCTTGCAGGCTTGTACCCTCCAAATTGTTTGTAAGAGTTGAGTCTTAGTTTCTGAGTGAGTGTAGAAAAGTGGTTGTGGGGATCTGACTCGTGCTATTTTGTTTCCAACACACTTTGCTTACATAAAAAAAGAAAAAGATACGTATATGCAATACCCCAAAAAAAGTATATTTTATGCAAAGGCATAAAGAAGTCCATGAACTGACACTAGCACCTGACAGTAATATTACAAACACACTCAGGCTCTTGCCTGCCTGTGATGCAACTGGTACACCACAAATACGTGCCAAAAAAAAGGTCATTAATTTATGTGATCAGCTGATAGAGAGGAAGGTTCTACTGTCATTATGAAAATGTGTTGGAGGCACTATGATGGTTGGTTGTGTCCTAGCCATAAGAAATTATTCTAACTTAAAAAGAAATGCAGGCCTTGATTCACAGATACTGAAACAATACATAAATTATGACCATAAACATGTAATACTGAAGTTGAATTAAAAATGTATCATGCTGAAGGTTAGATGTGAAATGCATTAGAAGGGAGAGTAGAGATTAAGTCCATGTATGGATAAAGCAAAGATATGACAAAGCTCCAGGGGTCTAGTCACAGCAAATTGTCCAAAATAATCTACTCGAGTTCATCCTGAACATGTAGGTCAGGTAGCAGTGCATAAACAGTTCAAATCAAATCATTTCTGTAAAAGTACTGACAGCCTGTTTCCATACTACCTTTCCTCAAATTCTGAAATGAACAAGAATGAAAAGCAATGTGGAACTATAGTGTACTAGGAAAGTGTAAACTTAGCAAAACCCATTGCAGTCAGATATAACATTTCTTATATAGCTATAAAAGACTGGAATAAATTATTCCTGGACAAGTGCTAACACTTTAGAGATCATACAGAACCTGGGGAAAGAGCAACTGGGTTTGATCCCAGGAATGGTAGTTCTAATATTCTGGATCAAGAACCCATCACCAGAATCAAGAAACTTTCTTTCCCTTTATGTTGAGGACCTCTCAGTGATAATAAATCATACCACATGAGTTCATTGCAGCATCCTAGGCTATTATTATATATTTTTGGGAAGCAATAAACCCTTAGGGGTCACATATCACCTAGGAGTTAAAAGGAATTAGGTTTTATTGATTATTACATTCATGGGGGAAGCACTAGGACCATTGATGTCTCAGTGCCTGAGGGAAAAGGAAAATATTCAGGTTCAATCCAAGAAAAGGGAGCAGAGGTCCAATTTCTAAGACCAAGAGCCTCTCACCAACATCAAGGAATCTTCATTGAGGGGTCTTAATACTAAGAACCCTTCACCAGTATCAAGGAACATTCCTTGAGGGATTCTCATACTAAGAGTATTACTAAATAAATAAATAAATAAATACTGGCTCAGAAGAGCTGTTCACCAGCATCAAGAATCCTACCTTAAGGAATCCTCATACTAAGGGTACTTAAATAGCATCAAGGAATGTTCCTTGTGGGGGTCATAATACTAAGAGCCCTTCACCAGTATCAAGAAACCTTCCTTGAGGGATCCTGATACCAGGAGACCTTCACCAGTATCAAGAAACCTTCCTTGAGGGGTCCTAATACTAAGATCCCTTCACTAGTATTATGGAACCTTCCCTGAGGGGCCCTAATACTAAAAGCCCTTCACCAGTATCAAGGCACCTTCCTTGGGGGCCCTAATACTAAGAGCCCTTCAGTATCAAGGTACCTCCCGTTACCCTAGGTTAGAGCTCCATAATCTATCAAACTACATGCCTATAATGTGCTTAATACAACCAATGCTGTAATTAAAGACATCCGTCTGTAAAAACATCTACGTATCTAACCAAAATAGAGTAAACTCTTCAGAGAAACTAAGGATAACACAGGTTTAGCCATCATAAAATATCGCCATCGTATATCTACCATGATTTTATATGTATTATTGTAACTGTTCAATTATAGCTATAATTAACCTGTAAGTAGTGTAATACCTCTGCACACGACTTATTCTGAATGAGGATCAATCAATGAATCAAAGAAATAGTATCGAGGGAAGCCGTGTGGGCGTCCATAGAGGCCGCCTCACACCCACTACCTGCACCAAACATGGCCACTCCACCACCCACACACCTCATATATACCATTAAAATAGGAGACACTGCTCTTACACAGGAACCCGGTACACACAGCACCAGCCAGAGGAAAATTACCGATCCTGGGGCAAGTCTCTGCTAGGTTTTTTTTTTTTTTTGTATGTATATCATTTGAAATCTAAAAACACATGTTGAAGTCAGGTTGGCTCGTTATCCCTTCAAGTTGAGTAGTTCATAAATTAATATTTTGGAGTACTGTATGTATATAGTATACTAACTATATAATATATATATACAATGTATATATATATATATATATATATAATATATATATATATATATATATATATATATATATATATATATATATATATATATAATATATATATAATAAAATATATAAAATATATATATATATATATATATATATATATATATATATATATACACACACACACACACATTTTCCAGATTTTTTAATAATTGATAATTTAAATTATATTAAGAATAAATATAAATGGAAGGAAACTTTTACTCGGACAATTAACAGTTAACCTTTTCAGGTTGCACCTCACATCAGAAGGCTAATACCAAGGTACCTACTTACTGCTAGGTGAAGAGGCAACAAATGTAGCAAAAATTGTTCATAGTTTCCACTTGTGCCATGATCGAACCCAGGTCCTTCAGATGTAAGCTGCAGGCGCTACATCTTAAGCCAAAAGGCACAATAAAACTACATTGTACCTGTAGAAATAAAGATTATATTCGCATAATTATCGAATTATGAAATGGATATTGTCAAAATTTATGTACAAAAATGACATTTTATAATGAGACACAAGGGAGTTTCCTTGAAGCTCGTGAGGGGCTCTTGATCTAAGGAATTGTAGTAGTGCTCCAGTTCCCTGAATTGAGCCTCAATGCCTTCCACTTCCCCTCCCCCTCAAAGGTACTGTGTAATCCCTACAGGTTTAGCGTTCCCACATCTCTAATTATAATGAGAACTTTTCCTACCTTTAATAACAATATAATTCTGAAAAAAAGCAATAACAATATAACTGAAAAAAAGCACACTACTTGACAAGATTGCTAGTCTTGTCTTTTTATCATATAAATATACAAGATGACGGGTATATCTAGTTACACCCAGTATACACATATCCCATTGTATACCTGGAATATATCTGGAGGGTGTTCAGGGGGTCAACGCCCCCGTGGCTTGGTCTATGACCAGGCCTTGCAGTGTTTCAGTTCTATGGGAAATTGGGATGGAAAATCACTCACTACGAAAGCAAAAGACTTGGCAGACGATGCACCATCCCCCCAATGAAAAGCAGGGGTGTCACTAGCACGTTAAGAGACCATACAATAAGTGTCAGGGGCCCGAGACTGTTCAACTGCCTCCCAGCATACATAAGGGGGATTACCAACAGACCCCTGGCAGTCTTCAAGCTGGCACTGGACAAGCACCTAAAGTCAGTTCCTGATCAGCCGGGCTGTGGCTCGTACGTTGGTTTGCGTGCAGCCAGCAGCAACAGCCTGGTTGATCAGGCTCTGATCCACCCGGAGGCTTGGTCACAGACCGGGCCGCGGGGGCGTTGACCCCCGGAACTCTCTCCAGGTAAACTCCAGGAATATTTCCTCCCTATACCATGCGTGTTATATAAAACAACCACAGTGCAGGGAACCAGGGGCTAGTAATTACAATGCAAGGGTCCAGGTTATGTAACCACAATGCAGGGATCCAGGGGCTAGTAACTACAATACAGGGAGTGAGGGGCTAGTAACTATAATGCAGAAAGAGAGGGGCTAGTAACTACAGTGCAGGGAATCAGGGGCTAGTAACTACAGTATAGGGAGCCAGGGGCTAATAACTACAATGCAGGCAGCAAAGAACTAGTAACTACAATAGTGGGAGTAAGGGGCTAGTAACCCCTTCTGTAACAATCACTAAAACAAAAATTTTAAAATTGAGTTGTATGAATGTGTGTGATAAGCATTGATTGTTAATGTTGTAGATGAAAACAGGCCAGATGTCCTAGCAGTATGCAAAACAAAGCCAAAAGGAGTGGGGTAATTTGAATGGGCAGTAGTAGATGTGATTAATTGTTATTATTAGTCATGGAGGAACGCTAAAGCTGTAGGGGTCATACTGCACCTGGGGAAATGGAACACAATCAGGCTTGATTCAGGAAATTGGAGCATGGGTCCAATTCCTTAGATCAAGAGCCCCTTTCCAGCATCAAGGAACCTTTGAGGGAATAAATAGGGTTAAATCGAATGTATTTGAGAGAAACTGAGCTAAAAAAGGAATACAGTAGTAGTAATATTAAAGGATCAACTCCTTATTTTAATAAAGAGTAGTTCTTTTTATAAAAATAATAATAAAAAGTAGTTAAATAATTATGTGAAATATCATATAGGGTGCAATGATGCACTGTATGGAAGGAAAGTGAAAGATAAATTAATAATATTGTGAGGCAAAAGGAGAGCCATTGAGGGAATGGGCAAGTCTATCAGGAAATTTTGCTGAGAATAAGACAGTTATGGAAAGATTTAATTGTTTAGAAAGCCTAGGGAGAAAAGGGACTTGGCAGTCAAAAATGAAAAAGGAATGTTAGATGGAGATGCACACTGGAAAGATGGAGAGAATATTTTGAGCTGAAGTAAGAAACAGTCAGATGTGAATGTGAGGAAAGTGTGTGAGGCAGATGAGATTATGACCAAAATGTTAAAAGCAGGTGGGGATATAGTTTTGGAGTGGCTAGTGTATTTGTTGAATGTATGCATGAAAGCTGGGCAGATGTTTAATAATTATGAATTAGCAGAGAGTATGTGTAGTTTCTATATACTCTATAAGGAAAAAGTGGGATAAGTGTGTAAGAATTACAAGGAAATAAACCTTTTGAGTATACTGTACTGGGTAAAATGTATGGTAGAATAAGTGAAAGAGTTAGGGGGAAAGATCAAGAAGGAGATATGATAGGCCAGTCAAGTCCATACATCTTTGGGTATTGTTGAATATTGTTATTATAATCGTAACTAAGCACTATACCCATAAATCATAAAACACTCTGGGGACTGCATTGGGGTCCTTTAATCTTCTCCCCTAGGGTGCAACCGACAACAGTTGAAACTAATATTCAGGTACTTGTCGTACTTACTGCTGGGTAAACTGGGAATGCTGGTATATGACACATGCTTAATGTTTCACCCATGCCATAGAGTGATTCCCAGTCCCTCAGTGTATGAGCTGAGGATGCTATCAACTGAGCCATTAGCACCCATCAGGATAAGGAAGCAATGTTGCAGATGTTGCAAATGTATGGAAGAGGTCATAGATTACTAAAACCAGTATGAAGTTTTTCTGAAGAGGGTGAGGTTCAAGTTAGGGTATGTATGATTATTATAATTAAGTGCTAAACCCATGGTATGTAGAATAGGTTGAACTATTTTCCAGTAAAAACAGACTTTGGACTGGCTTGTGTGATGTTGCCATAGTTGTTTAACATATTTATAGATAGGGTTATAAAATATGTGAATGACAGGAGAGGTGTGGGATTAAAAAGTAATGAATTTAATGCAAAGTGGGAGTTGTCACAGTTGCCCTTTGCCCATGACAGTTCTTTTTGGAGATTCTGGGAAGAAGTTGCAAAGGTTGGTGAATAAATTTGGGAAAGGATGGCAGAGGGATATTAATAATGAACATAGAAAAAGAGCATGGCGATGAGGGTAACAAAGTGTAAGTAACAAAAAAATGTACATATATCAGATTGGAAGAGGGAGTACAAAGTGAATATATTTAAATATTTAGTTGTAGAAGAGTCAAGAGTCAATCGCTAGTGCACTCAGCTCACACACTGAAGTCCGGAGTTCAAATTTCCTCCAGTACAGCTGGAAAACATAAGGACATGTTTCCATAAGACACCTGCTGTCCCTGTTCACCCATCAGTAATAATGGGTGTTAAGTCAACTAGTGTGAGTTGCATCCTGGGACAAAAGTGACCTAATTTGCCCAAAATGCTCAGCATAATAAGTAGCTATAGTAGTATGTCACTGATGTCAACTAGGCCCCTATACCATGTACATGTACTTGTGGTAAATAAAGATATTATTATTATAAGATGAACAACGGAAGAGAAAAAAGGTAGAGTGTATGTTTAGGCATCTGCATAAAGTTTATCTATGGAAGCAATTATTATTATTATTATTATTATTATTATTATAGTCAAGGGGGAAGCACTGTTGAGGGATGTGGAAGGTATTCAGGTTTAATTCAGGGAACTGGAGCACAAATCCAATTCCCTAGATCAAGAGCTCCTCACCGGCATCAAGGAACCTTCCTTGGGGGCCTATGGAAGCAATAAGGGGTTATGCACCAGATTCTAGTGGTACTAACACTATCAGAAGGTCAAAGAGGAGCTGTTGAGGTTTACCTGGAGTTTACCGTGAGAGGGTTTTGAAGGTCAACACCCCCACGGCTCGGTCTGAGACCAGGCAATGCGAGCATTCAGATAGGATGGAACATTAATCAATGATCAAGAGGGTATATTAATCTGGGGCAGAAGGGAGTGATAGGGGTTGAATTTGAGTGATTTGCTCAGCATGTCCCAGGAAGTCTATTGGATTACTGTATTATTATATTCACAAAAGCATTAAACCTTCTTTCTTTCTTTCAACAAACCGGCCATATTCCACTGAAGCAGGGTGGCCCAAAAAGAAGAACAAAAGTTTCTCTTTTTAACTTAAGTAATGTATACAGGAGAAGGGGTTACTAGCCCCTTGCTCCCGGCATTTTAGTCGCCTCTTACGACACAAATGGTTTACAGAGGAAGAATTCTGTTCCACTTCCTCATGAAGAAAAACATTAAACATTAAACCTGTATGGGTTTAATGCTCTTGGTTAAAGGAATTGGAGATGCCTAACTCTTCCTTGGATCAAGCCAGATTGCCTCCCATTTCATGACTGACCATAAAAACTATGAAAACCATGAAAAACAAATAAAAATCCCAAGAACAGACATATGATATTACTAACATGCCACACTGACCCAGCAATGTTCTGTTCTTGTTTTTAAAGATAATGTTATTACAATAAATTTAAGGACTAAACCCATATTCTTAGAAAATCTGTTATTTTAGATATGTTAACATAT